TCCTGTTGAATTTCTACAAAATACTTCTTGCAAAGCGAGTTAGTGCCACTTTATTCACCTTAGTCCAACACCCCACGCAGAAATGCCAACTGGTATATTCGGATCGCCGCCACGCGCCACCAGTAATCCAGGTTCCCATGCTCGGTAATGGCGACCTGTTTGTATGAATAAATGTACACGGTGCTTTTTAACACTAACTGGAGGGCGTATGTTGTTTCATTTTCTTCTGTTCCTGTGAGAGGGAAAGGGAGGGGTCAAAATCCGAACCTCCAGATAGCACAGTGAAGGATACATTTATTCATATAAACAGGCCACCATTACCGAGCATGGAAAGCTGGATAGTAGACTACAGAGTTATAACATGTTATAACGCTATCTTGATGGTGATTTCTGTGTTGTAATTATTTGACAACCGTTATAACATGAACAGCGCTTAAGATTATAATTACGGCATACTGGACGCAAGGATACACGATTAGATTTGACGCTGCAGGGCTGACAATGCTATTCTGCTCCCTGAGCAAGGAAGGGTGTCCCCTTAGGGGAACTGTGAGTAAGACGGACAGTGGGGGTAATACGGACAGTGGGGGTAATACGGACAGTGGGGGTAATACGGACAGTGGGGGTAATACGGACAGTGGGGGTAATACGGACAGTGGGGGTTGATTCTTTGGCGGCTCAGCTATTGAATTATATGATTTTATCACATCGACTATTATTTATTTAATTTAATAAATTTCAGAATACACAACTTGGTACGGGAGCTGCCAAATGTAAAAATATAAACAAAAAAAAATGGCGATGTGATGTAAATTTCGATGTGCAGTTCCTAAGGTTCTACGGCATTAAAACACGGAGAACAAATTCGTTAAGTTAAGATAACAATCCTAATAGTTACTTTCACATGGAAAAATATTGTTGTTTGAAAGAAACCTATAGTTATTCGAACATTAATTTGACCGTCAACTCAATCATATCTACCTAGTAGATTCAACTGTTCATCTTATACTCAATTCAAATATAACTTTGATCAATTATAACAACCGTCAAATGTAATTTATTTATATAATTTGGTTTCAAATGATCATCATAAATCCACATACTTTTAACTTGTGATGCGTAGAGCAGGCGATAAGATAGCTGGTTCTCACGCAGATGAACACGGTTCAAATCTAAGTTGAAAGTTCTTGTTCACTTTTTTTATGATTTTGCAGTTGTGTTTTTGAGATCGATAAAGAAGCAAAACAAACTTCCTTAATATGTCGATAATGAAGAGCAGTTCGTTTAATAAACATTGTAAAATTTTGCTTTTCTAACAATAGTTTTCTTGAATCAACTAAAGAATAGTTGTATTTTGAAGATTGACGTTTGTTCATCTACTGGAAAATATAGTTGAGCCAACCGAGGAGCCAACTATGGACTATAGTTGTTGCCCTCTATATATAGTCAAATCAACTATAGTTTCGGGTTATCTCTAAAACAATTGAACAATATAGTTATTTTGACCGGAAAAATAATTGCGTCTGCTATAATTTGTTCTCCGTGAACAGTGAAATACTTACAAAAATGTTTACGATCCTGTTCCTGGTTCATTTCTAGATTGATTGTTCAAATAAGAAATCAAATATTGTTTTTACACAGGGGCGTAGAGGCGGTTTGCTAAAAAGATTATCATGGTGAGTTTCGAATCAGACTCTGGTATCCGGGACATATTCCGATGTGACCAATGTATTCTTGGATCCTCATTATAATCTACAATAATCACACAGTCAGTTCAATTGTTTTTATAATATAGAAAGATTTAATTTTGAAGACTGTTCATCTTACCCCAGCATACAAAAATTGTGAATTTTTTGACCATTTATGATTAAAAAAAAGGTGTTATTTATTAAGATATGTCACAAATCTGTATACGTAGTTTCATTAAGCATTGATTTTACATTTTTTTTGCTGTGTGTAGAACGACGCACACACTTGCCTCGAATTTCTCCAGCAGAAAAGGCATACGAAGTCGAGTATGAGAGGAAATGAGCACCTCTTGTTTGCTTTTATGCTCAGAAGCATGGAGAGAGCAGTGGAGAAAGCACAGATCTAATAATCGCAACGCGTGGTTCCGAGCGAGGAGGGGGCCACTCTATCTACGATGCAGGAAAAATGTGTTTCGTTGTGGACGCACGCTGAGTAGATAGAAAGAAGATTAATGACGATTCTGAAGATTTGCTGCAAAAAGATGATGTGCAATGCAAGTAGATACGAAAAATGATGGAAGATTTTTCAAAGATTGATTCGCTAGTGTGAGATTTGTTGAGCATCTAGATTTGAAATTTAGATGTGTCGCCCCCCTCGGTTCCGAGTCCTTTAGTCCGGAAACCTTTTTTTTCGACATGATTTAATTTCACATTTTTCATTTTCCATTTTCTTGCATTTGACTGCAGCTAGGTATATCGTATCCTCGGTTCAAGCGGTCTCCACTAACATCCTCTGATGATGAATCCCACGTAATTGTAAGCGAATCTTACATCCCCCGGTTGGGTGCACTTCCAGGTTTGAAAATATTCTTTTCAAGCCTAGCGCGTATTTAGTTTAATTTTAATATTTAATTTATAAAGAATAATTGGCCCGGTCTCACCATGTTCCACTGGTCTGCTGCCGTTGATTTATTCTTTTGAAAGTCCTTGGACTTTTTCTCTAACGCTTCGTATTTCATTCCGTGCTTCACTGGAAATTTTCTTCCGTAAATCGTCCTTGTTCGGTTCTGAAATGATTCCGCCTTTTCCGGGGTTTTCTTGTTTTCCGAGGGAGATAAATCCTTTCCTGGTTCGATGTTGACTCCTTCCTCGCTGGTTGGTGTGGTCGGTTTCATGTCCACCATCTGTCACTGTATTGCCATGGTCATCTGGGACGAGGCTCACGTCCAAAGTTGCTGGTCCACCGAGCACTCGGAATGAGCGCTCCGTACATCATTGTGCGAACAGAGAATGAAAGAAGTACGAAAGGGATCAGTTTCAAGAAGTGACAGTTTCATCAGATTGCCCAACTAATCATACTCAAGCAAAGTAAGTATAATACAAACTATATGGTTACTTGGGTACTCATATGGCCGTCAGAATGGTTCATCGGTTGCGAAGTGAAGTATTTCTGAAGGTGATGCGTTATATTTCTCAATATTGTGATTTTATCCTAACGTTACCTCAATGTTATATAACAGACAAACAGACACAACACATTGAACATTTCTCATTGTAAACCCTACCGCCATCTGTCGTATACACTGCGATGGGCAATACACTCAACAGATGACTGTGGTGTGTATACGCAGTACTGGTGGTACTACCAACTAAGAAACATTTAAATTGACCATTAAAAGCGATTTCGATGAACATTTTAAGAGTGTCATGTCTGCTTGTCTGTGATCATACCTTCCCTTTTGCAATTTCGGGTAATCCTTGAAAGTACTTGCATTTTTCTCAGGCACTTTTGATCTAACTGCAATCACTCTCTCATACTCGAAATGTGCCACGACCAAATTGGCACAACGACGCCCTATACGCTCTCTGACCAAAGCACTGGGTCTCCAAGTCTCCCGTGGGCCCGGATACAACGCATACTTCGTTTAATTTAACATAGCATTTGCAATGCAAAATTAGACTAGTTAATGTTCCTTCGGATACAACGTAAAAATGAAATCGGAACCGACAATATGACAGATATGATATACAAGGCGATGGCGCGTGAACAGTAATGAAGGTAACCCAAATAAACTTCAATCATTGCGACACAGCACAACAACTGTTGTGACATTCGACAACGGAAACATGGTGCGAACTTGCAATCATTGCAGAGCGGTATGAAGTGACCAATAAAAAAGGACTGGCGTAAGAGAAAGAAGAAGAACGATCAAAACACTATTCATTGAATTAATTCAAGCATAACTTTTCAAAAGGACGTAAGTCGCAAAAATAAACAAATCGATATTTTGCATCTAACCGAATATAAAATACATGCTTTTCCTACGAAATAATGAAAAACAAAGTTTGGAGTTGTAATACATTATGGAAAATATATTTAATGAACGCCCTATGTGACATTCTTTGATTGTTTTTAAAATGGTGTTGATACACCCTTTTATTGTCAACATGACTTAACTGTTAAAATTTGATGATAACACAAAAACTGCAGATACGCTCACAGTGAAGCGTCGTTCGTATGTGAAAAAACAAAGCAACCACTATCAATCAGCAAATGCGTCAAGATTGTATGTTTGTGTTTGTATTTCTGGGAGCAACATGTTTATTATTTCAAAAGTATTCTAATAAAATTGCACTTTAATCTTGACTTTAATATTGAACTTCACATACCAATCTGACCAGCGCTTTCTTAATACGAAAAACACAAAACGTATAACATCTGACAGCAGATAATGCGGTGACCTCTCATCTCCGCTTTTAACATTGATTATATCACAACTCTGGGTAGTTATGTAAATAAATCAAACAACCGACAATTCCTCAATGCTTTTCGAGCAGCCGACGTATCTTCACTGCAAAACAAAAACCGGTGTATCTGACGTATGTGAAAACCCTTCTGTCAAATAGACGAATCATACAGGGTGTATGTAACAATCAAGGTGTGATACCGATGAATCAATCAGGGTGTATGTGAGTAGTACACAAGTATATGGTGTATAATTTTGTTTTATCAAAAGTATTGTCCGTGTTTGCAAAACTCGAAATTTTTCACAATTCCCTTAAACGCAATCCCTTTATCCAACTAATAGCACAAACAGATTTAAAAAAATAGCATTAACTTTTAAATAGCATTTAATAATTTCATATAGACATTGCTATCCGATGTTTCTAATTTACTATCCAATTTTACATACGTCCTTTTGAAAAGTTATGCTTGAATTGTCTTATGGGAAAATCTGTCATCACATGCAATACATGTTCATATTTCGAAATGTTTATTTCCTTTTTTTTTTTTTAAAGGCTATAAAACTATAAACAAATATTTTAATGCCAAAAATACGTTGGAGATATAAAATCTAGCTTCACTCATATCTTAAAATCTATATAGTCTAGAAAAGGTGTCTTTAAATCTCGTTCAGTCGGATATACTATTGATTTTTTTTAGTACTTTGTAACGTATTATTGTTTTTTTTATTAGCTTTGCATTACGTATAGTCTATTTTTATGAGTTTTTTTTTTGTATTAGTACACAAACTACATTGACATTTATTTCAACAGTAGATATAACTTATTGCTTGCTACAGTTATAAACTGGTTTCTATGGCATTAGTTCTGGAACTAAAATCGCTTATTCTTTTGAATGCGGGAATGGCTCATGGTGAGTGGGTACTATTAAAAAATAAATGTGATCAGTAGCTGTTTGATTGAATTATTGCATCATTATAGAAATCTTTGTAGCTGTGTTTCAAGACATTGCACATGTGATACATAGGAAATAGATACTTTGATGAATGAAAACCTATATTTATCAGGAGCAAAAAGCAGTTATGTGAGGCTTTTTCTTGTCACTTAAGTGAGTCGATGTTCTTTTTGGGGCAAAACAATTAGTGATGAGAGAAATTTCTGCTAAGGTTAGAGTTGTTTGTTTCATTATCAACAAACATAACTTATTATCTCCTACATACGCTGACATCACAGTAAATTCAAAGCCCTGATTTGGAAACAGGCAGTCAGTTTAAAATTATTAAACGCTGTATTTTTTGTTTGGGTATTACCATCGTAGTGATGCTGTTCTGTTTATAAAGTTTCTTCTCAATCAAAACATGTTTCAAACTAAAATGATTATGAATGTGGAATAGGAACTTTCCAAAATAGAAAAAATAAAATATATGTAAAAGCATTTTTTTCATATGGTTACAAAGCTAGCACTGAAGTCTTATTTTAAATATATGAATCATTGCATACAGCACGCCATCCATATGTATGGCACTTGATTGGATATTGCCTTTTCCAGTGCAATGTTGTGATTCGCGGTTTGTTTTAAAAATAAATAGGAAAGGTCGAATTATATTATTTTCTCTGCACCTCAGTTGGCAGATGTTAAGCATAAGTCTTATTTATTTGCAGTGCGTGGATGGAATAGCACCTTACCTAATCTTAGATTGTGACAAAGTCAACTCTATGCGATAACTTTCTTTTGATTGACGTGTTTTTATAGATTTTCTAACAATATTATTCAATGGATCTGAACTCTGAGTCAAGTTGTGTTGCAATTAAGATTTATGCTTTTTTTGGGGTGAAAAAAAGATGATATTCGTGTTCTATTCGGTAAGTACTTTAGATATCAGCGGTTCTGGTTGGATTAAATCTAGATTTACGATTGTCTACACTGCCCCTGCTTTCTTATTAGCAGCCCGCTGCTTCTCCCATTTGTTGACCATGTTCAATGGATAACACAGGACGGCTGAAATAGTTATCAATGCTCCACTTATGTAAAATGATACATTGTAACTGCCTGTTAGATCAGTGAAGTAACCTGTGAAAAAGATATACAGAATAGCAATTTTTCGAATCGTTTCTCATAATTGAATAATACTTTACCAGCAATAGGAGCACCGATAACTGCCGCCATTCCTTGGAATAGACAAAGAATACCGAATGCATTGGTGAGTTTCTCCAGGCCCATCAAATCCACAACCAGAATCGAACGTAATGCTGAGAAGCATGCTGTAAAGAAATCAAGGTATATGCTTAAATAACATAAATGGAGTTTTCGGTGACCTCTCAATAGCCTAGTCAGTCAAGATGTGGGATAGAATGCCAGAAGCGGCACTTCGATTCCCAATCCTATCCACTGTTTTACTGATTTGAATTGTTATTTGACTCTCCTGGCCGTCATGTATAACCTCTCAATTATTTAACAAGTGCTATTATTATTATTCAAGAGAGAAAATCTGCACAGATGGGGACTTTCGGGAATTTTTAATAATTTCTTGTACAATTTGTTGTCAGAAAAGGAAATGAACCTTTCCCTTGGACAACTGACAACTTCCAGAATTAGTTACATGGGCCTGCTCCAAGGCTCATGCCTCAGCCCTCTTCTTTATAACTTTTATGTTAAAGATATCGACAACTGTTTGGCAGAACAATGCACGCTAATACCCCGTACAGACTATGACTTGCATCATGTAATATAGGCTGTCTTGCAATGAGCACTCATACATAAGATTTCCAGTGAAAACTAGATGTATGAGTGCTCATTGCAAGACAGCCTATATTACATGATATAAGCTATAGTCTGTACGGGGTATAAGACAACTTACAGATGACGGTGTGGTTTCCGTAAGAGGTCCACATGCCGTGGACTTGCAAGGATCTAAGGAACTAAGGATAACTTGTTGATGATGATGATGATGATGGTCCCACCTCTTACCCCTACAAAGGTTTGAGCTGGACGAGTTATCTTTAAGATAATTAAATATAAACATTTTAACCAGGTTTGCAAACAAAATCGAGCTGGTTACAATTACAGATATAAATGTCCTGTTAAATATGCTATAGGCATCAACCAAAAACATTCAAAGGTGTAACTAGTTATCAAAAGTCCAAGTATAGTCCTCGACAATACTTCCATTTACACGTGACCTGGGATTTACACGTTTAAGCTTCCGCAGTGCCAGGACTATATCCAAGGAAACGACTTCCAGCCAACCCTTTACTAATTCAAGGCTTTTGCCACAATTTCCACTTGTCTTGTCTTCTTGGGCTAGGAATCTAGGGATCGAATTCTCGCCGCAGAAAACTGAACTGGTAGTGTTTAATCGAAAACGGTACCCAGCCCAAATGCAACTTAATCTTTTGGGCAGAAACATTACTCAATCATTGTCTTTCAAGTACCTTGGGGTCTGGTTTGATTCAAAGTGCACTTGGAATACCCATATGACGTATTTGAAGCAAAAATGTCAGCTTCGGCAATACCTTTACCTATTATCGTCAGGGGGTAAACAAAGTCCTAGAGCACTTAAATTTGGCCAATAGATGCACTGATGCTTTTTGTACACTTCAAGTGCGCCTTTGGTTTTCGAGACCTTATTTTGCATTCTTCAACACTTCGTCTTGCAGCTATTGAATAGAAGCATCGCTCCAAACGTTTGTTTGACACGTTTACGCCGAAATCATAGATATATTTGATACTTTGTGCTCGATAGGCCGGAAATGGGCGATTAGGCCTAATTAGAGTATCCTTTCGAGTTGGCAAACCGATTGAGACACTGGAAATCGTGGACGGTGGTAACATTCTTCGAGAGCGTGATTTAAAGGCTTGGGCTTAAGTCGTGATTTCATTCGCGTGGTTAGTAGACTTATGCGCATCTCCGTAGAATAAATCTTGTTAACAGCAACATCTGTCGATGTGGAAACAGTTAGGATTACATCGATCACTCAGTTTGGCAATGTACGGATAATGACGCCGCCAGAGAGCCACGAGGCCCAAGGAAGACAACCCTACATCCCTATCAGATACGTGTTGTTTACCCGCGATCTCTGCTATATGCAGTCGATTTATGTGTTTCTGCAAATGTGTAGCATAAGCATTTAATTCGTTTGTCTTTTGTATCTCTTTATTAGTGTTTGTTTGTCTTTTCCCCCGCCTCGATGAGTCTCATCGTCGCCCACTGGTCACCATAGCCAGTCGAACTCAAGACGAATCTAGAACCGCACTACCGTTCATACTGGCGACATCGCTCAGTTGAGACAACAAACCCCTACCCCAAAGCTCCTCCCATTATCCTATCCTTCGAAAATGTACCCCTCTAACCTCGGATAAGCCGCGAGTATTCGGCCCAATTCCTACTAGACATAGAATTAAGTGAATTCTTTTACAAACAATGAACAATGAAATATAGGCTCCGTAAAACTAACGCGATTGAGCCTTCCAAATAGCGGAACTAGATAAAAAATATTATTCAAGAGATTTACAGCCAATGTACAGTGCACAGCCCAAGTGACATTGCAATTTTTATTGAATTTTTAAATCAGTCTACAAGTCTAAATCTAAAATAACATAACATGGTCTATTTAGGAGTAGTGGCTAGAGTAGTGGTTTAGACGTTTGGTATCTTTGGTGAAGTTTTTGTGTTTGAAAATGCGTTCTTTTGGTGGTTGTGTGGCCCTTAACTTAATCAAAATTCAAAAACTACATTTTTATTTTTTCTAAATAAAGACATATGTTGTTAAACAACGTTTTACATAGCTGAGTTAATTTCGCGAAACTCCGCGAGATTGGTTGAAAATGATAAAAGTCCAAGAACTCTTTTCTTTGGAAACAATGTTTTTTTTTTATGAATAAGGAGTATGTTGAGTTTGGTCTTAGTTATTCTATGATCGATCTTATATAACAATATATTAGGGTAAGTGAGCCAGTTATAGCACTAGTGCTCCAGTTTTTGGGCCTAGGGCCTAACTCAAATTTAAAATAAATTATACATATTGCAAAATGTGTTTTCTAACCTTGCATGGAAATACATTTGGTAAAGAATGAAAAATATTGAAATTAAGATAGGGCCCATTAGGGATCTGGTTCCCTTTTCCTATTGCCATTAATATTTTTATGATAAATTGTCAAAAAAGTGCGTGTGTCATTTGGGACTACAACTACAGTGCTTGGAATATGCAGCATTATGAAACCATTGGCGTTGAAGTTGTGGTTTTTGGATCAATGAAAGATTATATTTACTGTCACTCGAACTTTAAAAATACAATAACATTTTGGTCGGTTTGGTTTGGTTTTGGTCGTTGACACTAGTAATCCTATATACAGAGATTCGCGGAAATATTATCAGACGATTTGGCAACGTGATTTATTTTTTGTTTACAAAAGCAGCCAACACTTGCCACGGAGCAAAAGGTTTCATCTTTGTGCGTGACTTTATCGTTGTCTACGCTACAAGTTTGTTTGTATACGTTGTTTGAATTCTCAGCAAACTGGTGAACTATTTTTGTCAAGTTTTACGCTAACCGCGGTCGTGGAAGTAGGGAAATGTAACAATGTAGCAATGAAGTATAACAATGTAACGGTTTCCAAAAAACCTTTTCATCAACCGACAACACTCTTCGGACACTTTCAGAAGAAAATAGAAATGTAAGTCCTATAAATAATCTCTCAAAAACTTTTTCGTCTTCTCAACAGAATGCGACTGAAATCCTGGTGTATTGCCAAAATTTCAATCGCATTAAAAGCTCAGCCAAAATGAAAGAAATTCAACAAAAAATGTTATCTTCATCTTTCAATGTTATTCTTGGAATTGAAACTAGCTGGGACGAAAGCGTAAGAAGCGAAGCAATTTTTGTAAACAATTTTAATGTATTCCGGCACGACCGAAATCTACATCTTTGTAAGAAAAAGTTTGGAGGTGGTGTTCTCATTGCCTTCAATGCAGACTTTACTTCCGAAGAAATACAAACTAATAAGAACACAACATTTGAACATGTATGGGCCAAAGCACTTATTGCTGGTGAAACACACATTTTTACTTCTGTGTATTTTCCACCTGAACATGCGAACAAACATTCTTTTATATTATTTTTCCAAATTGTCAAAACTGTCATGTCAAATATGGAACCAGAAGTAAAACTGCATATTTATGGTGACTTCAACCAACGCAACGCAGACTTTATCACAGACATTGAAAACGAATCATTTTTACTTCCAATCGTAGGTGAAGACGAAACATTACAATTTCTTTTTGACAAAATCTCATATTTAGGTCTACTAATTTGATGTGAAACGTGAAAAATCAGCAAAATGCATATTTAGACCTTTTATTTACAAACTGTACTGAAGACTTCTGTGTGTATGCATCATTATCACCTTTATGGGAAAATGAAGTGTTTCACTCAGCAATTGAATATTCAATCTTCATACAAAATACTTCTTCTCCCAGCGACTGGGAGTACGAAGAAGTGCCGGAATATCATAAAGCAAATTACGAAGAAGCCAAACGTAGACTATGTACAATAAATTGGCAAAATATAATAAGTATTGAAGGAAATGTTGACAATGAAGTTGGCAGATTTCATTCAATTATTCGTAACATAATTTCAGAAACCGTATCAATAAAAAGAAAAAGGCGAACACAAAACAATAAACTGCCAGTGTGGTTCAATTCACAACTAAAACATTTGAAGAACAAAAAGCAGAAAGCACACAAATTATACAAAAAGGAAAGCACTAGCACAAATTTACAACACTATCATAACATATGCAATCAACTCAACACAGCCATTAACACTGCACATGAAGAATATAATCGTAAAGTCGAAAATGAAGTCAAATCATATCCTAAGAACTTTTTCAATTATGTAAAAACGAAATTGAAAAGTAATAATTTTCCGTCACGAATACATTTTGATGGAAATCTAGGTGAAAATCCTTCTGAAATCTGCAATCTCTTTGCAAATTTCTTCAGGATGTATACACCACATTTTCTGATAAAGACCGCGACCTCGACTTCTTTGCATTCATTCCCGAAGTATCTAACAACATATCTGTCAATCAAATATGTCAACATGAAGTCCTCAATGCACTAAAAAATGTGGACGCATCCAAAGGACCAGACGGAATTGCACCTGTGTAGTTATCGGAGACGAGCCAGCCAACGGCTGAAAGTCTCCTTAATAAAGATATATAAAAAAAATGCACCTGTATTCTTGAAGAATCTTTCAGAACAACTTACCCTTCCTTTAGAACGCCTTTTCAATATGTCTCTGAAAAATGGAAAATTCCCTGAAATTTGGAAATCGTCTCATTTGGTGCCTATTTTCAAATCAGGTAAGAAATCTGACATCCGTAATTATCGTGGAATTGCCATTATCTCTTGCATCCCAAAACTTTTTGAATCAATCGTAAACGACAAAAATTTTCAGCAAGTAAAAAATCAAATTACAAACAAACAGCACGGCTTTTTTAAAGGTCGTTCAGCTACCTCTAATCTTCTTGAATTTTCATTCTTAACGCAATGGAAAATGGCAAGCACGTGGAAGCTCTTTATACTGACTTCAGTAAAGCATTTGACCGAATCAACATACCATTATTACTCTTTAAATTGCAAAAAATAGGAATGGAATCTAGAGTTCTGAATTGGCTCCAATCATACTTAACGCAACGCAAACAAATAGTTCGATTTCAGAATAAACTTTCAGAACCTATTTCGGAGACCTCTGGGGTGCCCGAGGGCTCTCATTTAGGCCCAATTCTTTTTATTTTGTACGTAAACGACATTTCCTACATACTTAAAAAAAATAAAAGTTCTTATATATGCAGACGACATGAAGCTCTTCATGGAAATAAGTAATTCTAGCGACACAGAAGAATTCCAGAATGAAATCAACTTATTCAACACTTGGTGTAGTAAAAGTCTACTCCAACTCAATGTAAAAAAATGCAACGCAATTGTATTTAGCAGAAAAATAGAAACACCTCTTTTTGAAATATTTTTAGGCAAACAAAAAGTAGAAAAATGTAAAATTGTAAGGGACCTAGGTGTGATCCTAGACTCCAAACTCACTTTTGTAGAACATTATAATACAATCATAACGAAAGCAAATAGTATGTTGGGCTTCATTAAGTGGTTCAGCTATAATTTTCAAGACCCATACACTATCAAATTATTATATATTACATACGTAAGACCTATTCTGGAATCCGTACATTGCCATACACGAGGAACGCATAGAATCGGTCCAAAAACAATTCCTTTTATATGCCCTTCTGAAATTGAATTGGACCGCATTTCCGCTTCCATCATATGAAGCACGCTGTATGCTCATAAACTTTGACGCCGCGAATTTGCAATGCTTTTCTTCATCAATGACATTATTTCACATCGCATAGAATCATCAGAAATACTTTCACAATTAAACTTCTACACACCCTTTCGGCATCTAAGAACACGAAAATTATTCTCAAAAAAATCACACCGAACAAGTTACGCAAAAAATGGCCCCTTCAATCTAATGATGCGACAGTATAATCTACACTGTGAAGTCATTAGCATCACTGACATAGTGATTTTGACATAAAAGAAGAAATTAAAACCCAACTAAAACATTATAGAAATATTGCATAGTATGTAAGTAAAACATTGTAACCATTGTATGTAGTCTACTTTGCTTGACGAAATAAATAAAAAAAAAACATATTGCCGAACTCGACCGTGCAAATCTCGGTAAAAATGGCCGAGCTAGCGAAATCGTTCATTATTCAATTCCAACCTGGAATAGATATCAAGATTTGGTCTACTTGTTTTCTGACAAACATCCAAACTACCACAGATTGAGGTTCGCACTGACAAAAAGTTCGGTTTCACAGTGGGCTGGAAGTGTGTACCTAGGAGTCTGCTGCTGTCCAACAAAGAAGAAAACTCACCAATAGCGATACCAAAAATTCCCGCATAGGTAAACTGGAAGGCTTCTGTGATGTACAGACCACTGAGCATTGTAGCGATTCCGCCCATGGTAATTGCAACGTTGTTAATGTGAAGAGCGTTGACACTTTTGAACGAACTCAGGAAACCACACACAATCCTAGCAATGGTGTTTGAGATACCTAAAACATATGTACAATATAGTTATGAATTAATGTATGAAATTATCAATGTACCATACCAATAGCAGACACAATGAACAGCGAAACATTTTGGTCCATTCCCCCGGATGTAGCTCTCTGGGTGATGTAGATGAACGGTACGAAGAATCCCATCATGGTGAAGAATCCACTAATGGCTAACAGCATAAACGACGGCGATCTAAGCAAAGTCATATCCAACATGGTAGCCAAAGTGCGCCTCACGGCCTCTGGACATATTTTGCATGATGATTCCTCAATTTCTTCGACATCGGCTTGGGTTGGTAGACGTGTGACAGACATATGGTATCCAAGGGAAGTCTGTGATTGGTACTGAGGGATACGAACCAATGATCCAGTGAAAAAGATATCGTCTCTGTACATGGGACGTGTAGCATCAGTCAGCGTACCACGGCGACTTCCTTGACGAGATCCGGATTCATTTGGTCTGCGACCAGATACGGTATGGCTTCGCTGTCTAGTTGATGCCGTTGTGATAACAGGTGTGGGCTTCTCTTCTCCAGTCAGTAGTGTTCCATTTTCCGTCTCTTCTTCTTCAGCGGCTTCTCCTACTGTGACCAGCTCGTGATGTGGAATCGGGAACCGTGGCGCATGAATAGTATCCTCGGGAGTAATTTGTCCTGAGAGCCTCTTCTGATTTTTTGATAATTGCTCTAGTTTCTTCGTCGTGTGTTGAATATTTTCATTTGTCAGCAAACCAGAGTGGTTGGATGGTCTTCTTTCAAGGTTGTGTCCACTACCCCGGAAAACCTCGGCAGCAGTTGGATATTGAGTGTTAGGACTTACGCCCATCCACGTGCTGTGGGAACTGTTTGGTACTGAATAGGCAAATCGGCCTTCTGGTAGTGGTTTAGTGTAAACTATTGGTAGCCCTTCACCAAGCAATGTTCCCTTTTCAGCGGGGGTATCTTCGTCCTTAGTGATCGTAACCTGAATCGGTTGAATGGGTCGGAAAAAGCATCCGAAAATTGCACATAAAAGGATAATTGCAGATTGAGCTAGTAGGGCTCCTCTCCATCCAAATTTCTCGATAAGCATTGCACTAAGCGGAGCGAACACGAATGTTCCCACACCTGAACCGCAAAGAGCTATTCCAGTGGCCAGAGCACGCCATTTTTCGAAATAATATCCAACCGTTATCACTGATGGCACATAAATGAAACAGAACCCAATTCCACCAACTACACCATACGTAATGTACAAATATTCCAAACTAGTTCCATAGTAAGAAAGAGCAAATCCAATAGAAGCTATCACCGCGCCCATGATCGTGACGGTTCTGAAGCCCCACCGATTGGCAAGAGCACTGACAAATGGACCAGTGAGCAGATAAAACCCACTGAGTAACGAGCTCACTAAGGCAACCTGAAATCGAGAACCACGTTTTAGTACATATTAATCATTAATAGTGCAACCGTAGACAAAATACCAACCTCGGCTTTCCCAACGCCAAAGTCCAACCGAATGGGGTCTTGGAACATACCGGCACTGAACACGATACCGTCAACTACCGTGTTGCAGAGAAATGAAGCGATCATCACCAGCCATCCCCAGCCTCCGTCCGGTGGAACGATGACCGATGTCGTTGGCGGTTCTTCCTTCATCATCTGAAGCTTGTTTGTGTTACCATTTTGAACCTTTTTGGTGCCGTTTTCAGCATCCGGTTTCGTATTCATCTCGAGTGAGTTTTGTGGAGGCATCTGCAAAAATTGAACATATGGAAAAGAATTAATGGTTTAAAAGCGTGTCATCAGCACGCGCTGCTCATACAGCCATGATTTTATGTGTGAATCACGAGATTTCCAGTTTATCGAGATATCACTGAAAAAATGTTGTGCTAATTGGTACTTCAAATATAATTAAATTGGTAATGAAATTCCAGTGAATTTGGTTATATATTGAAAAGAGATTAGTGTAAAAATGTTTTGAAGTAGAAGTAATGCAAAAATAATCAGGAAACTACAGACTACAGAGTTATGTTATAATAATTATCTACAGAAAAAATGTCATCAAGATACGCTTACAACATTTGTATCTGCTCAGTCTGGTCAGTGTTTAAATGATTTCACGGAATTACTCTCTCCTCTGATCTCGTCACTCTTTTTTGTAGAAGCAAAAAGTAGGTGGCTCCAGAGCAATTTTCACACTGTTTAGATGCAACCGTGTCGCAATGTCTTCCCATTTTTGGTAATGCTTTGTTCAGACTGCAGAGTTATAACATGTACCGTTTCTGACTGTTCTGGGTTAGGGCTACCGACCGAAGCGTCGTTCCGGATATATTATGATCTTTACCATGAGACACATCACATCGTGACCTATCGATGGATGGATCGAGTGATGTGCGTTGTCGGAGTTCCGGGGACACTCTCGAGTCCCGTCGAATCTAGAAGAGGTTTACGGGAAGGTGATGGGCTTTCGTATCTGCTGTTAAAGATAACTTTGGAAGTTATAATTCGAAGAGCGGGATAGACACGAGTGTACGTTTTTCAGGAAGTCTGTCCAGCATCTTGCCTTTGCCGATAAATTCGGCATCATGGCACGGATAGACGATGACGGAAATGTACATCAGATTAAAGGCTAAGCCAATCGGATAGAACTTGTCATTAATGCTTATTATGCCCAAGTAACAATTATGGTTTTATTAGCGTTCTGTAGACTATGATTTAGACTTATAGAATGCTTTAAAACCAAGATAAAACTAGCAATGTTACTTGGGTGGTTCAATAGAAGATAGTGTTAGCCTCCATCCCACCACGAGTACCACTAGTACGGATTGACAGCGATAAAATCAAGGTCGTTAACGAGTGCGTGTATTTGGGCTCACTGGGTGACAGTCGCGCTGATAAAGGCCCCCACTTTGTTTCGGTCACAATAACTACTCGGTGAGGTATGGGAGTGAAATCTTTAAATACTTAGTTCTATTTCTCAAGCAAAGCTCTTCATGAGTTACTTGAGAGACTTATTATATTACATATACAATTTTTTTTTCTAAATATTCGCAGAAAGTGGTTAACATCTGTAGGTTTTGAATTGAATCAACGAAAAAGTAATAAAATGTTTTTTTGAGAAATAGGGGAAATGGATGTAATGTTGGCCTAAATGCCCCTAATTTGGGCCCATAGATAATTTCAGTAATCGACTAAATTTTCAATAGCGACCAAAATATCCATTAGTACCGTCCCAATGACGCATTCATCTAGATAAAATTGATAAATAGCAGAAATATGCTTTGCATGAGATAGAAGTAAAATGTTTTCTATTCTGTATTATTGTTAGGTCGTTAGGTAGTGGTTCCGTTTTAAGGTTGTAGAGACCGACATTACATAAAGGTATTGAGAAGAAGAAGAAGAAGAAGAAGAAGAAAAATTAGGCTATACCCACAAAAAGGGAATACCTGTGTTCCACCCCGGGAGATCAAGCAACAACGAAGTATACATAAAGTTTCTTAGCTTTGTCACTCGCAACGATATATCTAATATTAAATTATTATTAACAATTCAACAACAAAATAATTTTTAATATTACATCCAAGAGAATGCACTTCAATCATGTCGAAAATCTCAAATAACTTTTATGGCCACATCAATAAACAAATGCAATAAAAGCACCGTAATGTCAGTTAATGCACTGTATTAATGATAATTTTGTCCTTTTTGGCAAGTATTCTTACACCATATTTTCGACACGATTGAAGTGCATCCACTTTGATGTGATATTAAAATTATTATTTTTTTGCTGTGCATATATTACCGTTCTATGCATAATTGCCCCATGTACTATGCAATCCTTATGGACCGAGGGACATTTATGTGTATAAAGGCAGTATACGGAACTGTTGGTACGGGATGTCCTTGCTTTATGATTTCCTATGGATAAAATGTAAACTACTGTATGTATATTGAAAAGTATTCGACAATGCACACATTGCAATCTATAAAATTTTATAAACGCTACACAGTAGGCCTGATCGCTTTAGTACTTGTGTTAAATTTCTAGAACACCATGAGAAAAGAGCGTTTGTGCCAAATGCAAACAATGGATTAATGTATATTCAGGTTAACAGCAGCACACGCTACCCATTATTGGGTTAAAAAAAACGCTATTTTGAAGAAAAGTGGCTTATCTAATTGTTGAGTAATTTTATTACCCATTAATAAGTATTTGATATCCATTCATGAGTAACTGTCATTCATTAATGGGGTAATAGTAGCTCATTAATGGGTAACAGATACTCATTAATGGGTAAAAAATTTACTCATCAATGAGTTATGCCACTTTTCTTCAAAATGTTTTTTTTATTCATTAATGAGTACTTTCAAGTCTGCGTGCATTCAATAGAGAAAGTTTGCTGTAACCAATGTTGAAGTTAGATTGTGTGGGCGTTCTGTGCTTCGTGTGTAATTGTCGTTTATACTTTTTTATACTGACACGAAAAATGATGGATGTATTTCTATAATTTTCCAGGCTTCATGTATGTGTAGACCAGACTAGAAGTATTCAAAGATTTCACTCCCATACCTAGCCGTATTAGACCTATGTATCCGCGTCCTTTGTTTAGTGTCCATAGAAGTATTTCAGTACTATGAAAGAGCAATGAGGTATTTGTTTTCGATGCGGGTATCACACATACTTGCGCTCATTCAATTGTGATACTTCGTAAAATTCTAAAAGTTCTGGGACCTCTAAATACGCGCCTGCTCATCAATCAAAATAGGTGTCCTTAGTGACAAAACAAGCGATGGCCGATGATACTGATATTTGACAGTTCCTCGGAGACAAGAATAGCTTATGGCCATAGTTCGATGTGGTAGATCTTACACCAGTAACGCACCACGCGAAAGGTGATCAACCCACGCTGCGGCTTACTTTGTACTCCGACGGACGCTCCGGTGAAATTGCTGGTCATGCCCATGAAATGGACTATGCTCGAGGAAGACAAAAGCGCACTAGGTGTTTTTAATGGAGTGCAGATGGAAAACGGAACGTGGAGGAGGCGAATGAAGCGCGAATTACACCAGCTGCTGGGAGAATCACCACCGTCGTCCACAACGCAAAAAAATAGGGGGCCATGGTGGGCACACGCAAAACAAAAATTTATTGCAATATACCATTTATTATCATCCTCTGTTCATGAACATCGCAGCGAATGTTAGAAGTTGACCTTGCAGACGATGCAATGATTGTTAATCTTTTTTTTATTTCGTGTTATGTATATGCTATTGTATAACATGGTAGAACGACGTACGCACTTGCCTCTTTTCTCTCCATAGCATAAAAGCAAACGAAGTCGAGTATGGGAGGAAACGAGCCTATACATATTCCGAAGCATGGAAAGAGCATTGTAGAAAGCATAGTTCTGATAATCGCAACTTTCGTGGTTCGAGTCCCCCAGTCGGCACTTTTTTTCGACATGATTAATTTCACTAATACACTCCACAGTTTCCTTTCTAAATTTTCTTGCATTGGACTGCAGCTCGGTATATCACATCTTCGTTTCATGCGGTCTCCACTAACATCCACTTATGATGAATCCCACTTAATTGTAAGCGAATCTTACATCCCCAGCACTGTAGAACTTTGTTGATATGTATATTATCATATAATGTTCAGTTACTGGTAATATTGTTGTGCAATTTTCTATGCAAATCTTATGTAACGTGGGACATTAATGCGTATAATGCTAGTGAAAACTAGTAGATATATTCAATATTGATGCATAAAATTCTTTGCTCGCAAATTTAACTAGGGCTGACGTAAAACAACTTCAATCAGGGCTATCCTAAGACCAATTTAATTGGAGTATACCAAAGGGAAGGGAAGTATATGAATAAGTGCAAATTATTAAATTTATCAGAGATTCTATAAGTCCTTTATACAAAACTATAAAGGAATGTTATACCCCGTTCACATTAAAACTTATGTTCCGTAACATAGCCTATCTTAATATCAAAATCCATGCATCGAGTTTTCACTGGAATTAATATGTATGACATTAGATATCAAGATACTCTATATCACGAAATATAGAATATAGTGTGAACGGGGTGTTACATTCTCCGGTTTGCTATACCTAGTAAATAAATGATTCCGAGTTTAATTATCCAGTAGTAGGCCTTGTACAACTGAATACGTTTTCAGATGTCTGCGCACACTATGCTACTTGTTGTCAATGATGAACGTCACAGCCTCCAGTGAAGCCGTTCGTTGCATTAGGCAAATAATCACGTTGATTTTTTGGCATATGCGCAAGGCGGTGTTTATTGAAACGCCACGCGCTATACTATACTCAGAGAATCTGAGTAATCCTGTGGTCGGAATATCACCAATTATTTATTCAGAGAAAAATTAGTATCCCACGCCTGATTTTTTTTGACGATCACGGCTTGAATAGGTTGTCAATTGTGATGGTATTATTTTTTTTAGAATTTTTACGATTTTTTGTGCAATTCATCTTTTTAAATCATTGTTAGTTGATTTCAACAGAATATTATTATATATGTGTAGCTAAAGTCCTCACGCTGCTCATTAACTGCTTATCCATTCCGGCTCCATGCAGACTAGGCTAGATTTAGTAATCACAGTCTAGACGCTTTTTATTTATTCATACAAATTCAATGCTAAAAACAACCTATCGACAGTTTCTACTAAGCAACTAGTGCAATTCTTGAACTAAATCTAAACGATTAGATCTAGTACCGGT